TTTTTCCCCCCCCCCCCCCCCAAACCCAGTTCCGGCATAATGACATAGACAAAGCCCCAATTATTTATCAGAGAAGTCTGGGAGCTTTTTCTTGTGCACATCTGAAAGCTGTCAGTGCCGGTGCCCTCCACCGCGCTCCTCCCCATCAGCACATCAATTGGCATGTCTTGATTTAAGCCATGTGTATAGCCCCTCTGGCTATAGCCAGAGGGGAGTGATATGGTCAGGCTTGAGAGAAATTCTGTTATCACGTGTCTTTGCATAGAACGCCCTTTCTACATCCAAATCTGCATTCTAATGCGATTAACATTTAGTCCATCATTTCCTTGTTGTGATAAACCTATGGGATTTATTTTGGATTTGGATTCATGGCTGTGGATTGTATACTCATTTAACTCTCCCACACCTGCAGTTTGATAATAAATGCTGCTCTGTGGTCACTACTTAAAACAAAGAATCAAATTTTTAGTATAAGAACTGATATGCCAGGTGTTTCTGTAAGATAGAGATTCATATAACTGCCCTCATGACTAGTCATCTTCACATGTGGGCTCATACTGTGTAAACAAGCCTTGGTGCCAAAGCATGCTGCTCTATACTAATGTGCCCTGTATGTGATAGTATATGCTGTGCGTACACGAGACCATTCCGATGCACACGGAATCTCCATATGGAAATGTGTGGCAGTGGTTTAGATTGCTAAACAAGTACATGGACATAAAAAAACCCCAAAAAATCCTCTGCAAATCCCTCCCAAGCTCTCCGTCCAGGGTCCAGCCGAGCCCGCTCCCCTTCCCTCAGTGGGAGCCGGGGCTTTGTCGCCATGCAGCTCACTGTGGTGTTGATAAGGGAAGTCTGGCTAGGGGAGCTCAGAACATATGGTTTCAGCAAAGATATAAAGTGGCGCAGGGTTGGGGGTTGAGGGATGTGTCGTCCCTCCGTGAAGAGGCTAAAGGAGAGACGGCGAATGAAAAGCGAGTGAGTGAGTGGTTCTAGTGTAGAATCAGGTGATTTTGTGATGATCAGTGATGTTTTTCATGTTTTTGTGTGTGTGCATTTTCGGAACCTGCCTCATCTCGTTCAGTTGTAGCTCAGAATCCCTTATGGCAGCTCACTGACAATGTTTGGTAGATGTATGCACCTTCTGAGAGTCATACATGGAGGTGGGAATAGCGATAACACAGCTGGACAGCGAGAGG